TGCTATTTTTGGACTGTAATCAGATTTCTGACCTCTTGAGAGTTGTTACCAGTGCTTTACCATGAGATATAAGAGTAAATTGTATTGACAACGAATTCAGGTAGCTTTGTGTGATCTTGGAAAGATTCAGTTCACTCTACAAATTACACCATTAGTGAACGGCTGACTGACAACTTTGAAGCTGTTGCTGAAATATTTTGCCAGTTGGATCGGCTGTTTGAGTTTCTTCAATTGCTTAGACTGATATTTTGTGACATAAAGTCGAAGGTATGTTATATCCTAAAGAAACATGAATGATTTGCTTCGACCCATAACACTTAATGAAGTAACTATTACGTAATTTTTCATTGTTTCTCCTCCTTCCTTCTTCAGTTCATCGGGTTTCTTCTCAACACAGGCAAGAACTCAATGGCTAACAGCACCATACAGATTACTCCTAATAACACAAGCGACGAGAAATGGAAGTCTCATTCTACATCCGAGTGTATTCCGTGGCTTGATCTGCTCATCGTTGAATGTCTGGCCATAGTCATCCTTAATGCCATCAGTGCTGCTGTACTCTTGAAGAAGCACCAGCTGCAGCGCAGGGGTACATGCTTGATCATCCACCTGGCGATAGTCGATCTTCTGGTAGGGGCAGTGACAGGACCTGTGTTTATTAACACGGTAGGAGCTTCCTGTGATCTGTGGGAGGAAACAGTCTGGTCTAAGAAGTACTCTTGGATGAATTATTTGACGATAGCATTGGGGCAGTCCCTCCCTTATTTGTCGCTCTTAAATCTCGCGGTTATTTCATTAGAGCGGGCGCATGCAACCTTTTCCCCTTTCAAGTATCTTGTCGTTAAGAAATGGGTCTATGGAGTTATAGTTGGTGTAACTTGGTTAATGTTTGTGACTGCTGCTATACTGGGGAAAGATATAAGCAGAAAAGGCCGCCAAATTATGTATTTTTCATTTTTTGCAGTTCTTCTCTTTGTAATTTCTGTTTCTTACATCTCAATTTTTGTCAAAGTCCGTTTCTGTCATCGTCTCCCAAATCACGGCTCATCAAGTGTAATGGATCGAAAATTAACGAATACGTTGTTTATGGTGACTCTTGCATCCATATTTACTTGGCTTCCATTGATAATTGGACGAAGCTTAAGCACTTTGAACCCCCAGTTACTTAAAAACCTTAACCGGCGATTAGCCGATCACTTGTTCAGAGGTGTGTTGATGTTGTAGCTGGCAAATTCGTTAATAAATCCGATAATCTACGCCATGCGGCTGCCAGAATTAAGACAAGGTATAATGAAAATCATATTTCGCCAGACTCCAAACAGTTCAAACCAGGATGATTCTCCTCTCCGTAATCTTTGATTCATCAGTTTTTATTCAGTTCAGACTGTAAGAATTAATCAGCATATGATTCCATACGTTATTTGGATAACAGGTGCCGATAAACTAACAAAGTTCTTAGCGCGAAGAGTGTCTTGGTTAAACAAAAAATCGATCGAAAGTCATTCCTTGAAAGTTTAAGAATTAAAAAAACCTATTTAGGGGGCTCAAGAGTTAGTTTGTATTTGTTAACAATTCGAACTTAATGTAACGTGCATTAAGAGAGAAATCAGTCATAACTCACATGCTTTTGTCGTCTTAGTCCAACAAAAAATCTAAATATATTGTGCTGGTTGTGCAGACTAGTGTTTTGCTGCGTGTCGATATATATTTTTGAAATAGTCCCCTTGATTTGAAACTTAATTAAATTAAGCACACAAAATAAATAACATCTTGTGTTTTGAATGAAAAGACTGGCGAATTTGTATATTTATAAAACTATACTACAGAAACCAAATAACGTATCACCGCCTGAAAGGCACATAAGCCCGAGTAGCCCGCATATTTTCCGCCGGCGAGTGCTCCGGATATTCCGATCAAGTATTGAAACCAACTTAATGGCGATTTGAAATATAGCTTGTGATATTTTCAACCTTCGCCAAAAGAGCAATCACAAAGCAAAAGCAAGATTATCGATCAAATACGCTTATTGAAAATGCTCTGGGAATTTTTATCCTTAAGCCACAAAACTAGCCTTGAGCACTATATACCTCGGTACGCTAAAAAAGGTTTTTTTTCTCCTAAATTCCTAAATCCCTTCTTTACCCTGCTGTTTACAAACTGTTGTCTTACCTGTTTAAACCTTGACATCTTAATATCACTGCATATTCTATTTACTGTTCTCCGTTGATCCGAAATGGTTCTGACTAATTAAGAGAACGTATTGATCAATCAAGAGCTCTTCAAGTTGTAGATCATTTCCTTAATTCTCCTGACCGTAATGTTTAATTTAGGGGTGATATCGAGAGGAGAAATTAGATGCTAGTAAATCTCAGGGTTTATAGAGTTGAATTTCAGTAACATGAGTACATGAACTGTTACACTGGTTACATGAGTTCGCATGACATACCACAACATGATTGGCAAGTGGGAAACTCCCTAACTCTGTGATAGGTGCAAGCAAATCCTAATGCTGTGATCTGAGTGGTGCGAGATGCATACCCCAGCGAAGTGATCTGATTGGTGCGAGATACGTACCCTAATGCTGTGATCTGATTAGTGCAAGCAGTATATCACTCATGACGCTAACATATAGGTAATTTTTTAGAACTAATCAATCGATCATTGAGTTATTTATTTTCCACACAATATTTGGTGTTAGCGTGGACAATTCTTGATAAATTTAGTATCAAGTGTTTCCCATTAAATTATCCTCAGTTTTACTTAGTGATAACCTTGTGATGTCATTGGACTTGGATAAGTCACGTCTGGGACTGTGGAAATGAATACAATCTCTTCATAGCTGATATTCATATCCAACTCGCAACACGAGATTGCTTTCATCAAATACCGCAGGGGGAATCCTCATTGACAAATGAAAACGGACGATACCAAAGATTGCAACACCTAATTCTGTTCTTCTGTCATAATATCGAAATTGAAGATTGAAGACGCAGCATTGTCTAAATGGAAATATGCGTTATTAACCAAGCTTTTTCGGTGAAGATGGCTTGATATTGGCCATGCTCGTTTCTTGCATTTATATGGACCGAGACGAAGTCGAGGTCCATAAAAATGCGAAATAAGAACGAGGCTATTATCCAGTCATCTTGACCGAACAAGCTTGCTTAATAAAGGATTTGTTATATTGCAAAAATATTTCGCTTTAATAAGAATTAAGAAATGATTTTGTTCACTTCGAGAGCCGAGAAAGAAAGCCAACTGTGTTTGTAGCACAACAAATTCAAGAGAGTTTTCTGTTTTCTTTGTTTTAACTATCTTCTGCCGCTTTCTGCGTTTCCATCTCCGAAATTGTCCAAGAATAACGAACGTACTTCTAATTCTATTTTTTTCATGCGCGGGATCAAGGCGGGCAACCCCAAGCGGGCAAGATGGGCCCATCTTGCCGGCTCGGGTAGCCAATCAGAACACAGGATTCGTTTCATCTTGCCCACGGGTGCTGCGAGCGATGTAAAAACACACAACATATTAAGCATTTGATGACAATTTGATTACTCAACAAGTATTACCCATTACATATTTATAAGTACTATCCTTTGATAACGCACTTATGTCACTGATCACTGATATGTTATGTCTGGGAACAGCAATGGCGATAAACACGTAAATAGCTGATATTTATCCCTGATATCCGCCTTTTTTTCGCGTTATGTCGTCACTTGCCTTTTCTTAATCTCAAGTTTACAAAGGAGTATTCCTTTGAAAGCTGACTAGAGCTAGCCATTGTTTATTCTCATAAAAAAATGGCATGAACAATTTATGGAAGGTGAATTTGAGCGAAAACACATTCCTCACAACAGCTCTTGAACTCTCCAAGGAAATGTGGCGTAAACAGTAAACAGCAGCCGGTAGATGAACCAATATTGGGTAAATCAAATAACTTTTTAATTGCTATTTTTGGATTGTATTTAGATTTGTGACCTCTTGAGAGTTGTTATTGAAGTTAGCCTCCTTGACCGTATGCATCAACAACGTATCGTATCTTTTCTTAAGCGTACGATATGATCAACTTGATTTTCTATTTAAAGAAATTTGAAGATTGGGAGCTGACTTTTTATCTCCGGTGAGATATAAGAAGAAACTGTTTTAATGACGAGTTCACTTGGCTTTGTGTGATCTAGGATAGTTCCAGTGTACTCTAGGAATTGTGCCCAGCATTAGGGGACGGTTGACTGAGAACTTTGAAGCTGTTTCTGAAATAGTTTGGCAGCTGGATTGATCGAGTCTTCTCAATCGGCTAGATATTCTGTTTGTCAAATGAAATCGAAGGTATGCTCTATACTAAAGAAACATTTCAAGTGATTTACTTAAACGCTTAAACAAATGTATAACTAACTTCATTCCATAATTATTTATTGATTTTTTTTTTCTCATTCTTCATTAGTAAGTTCATCGGGTGCCTTACCATCACAGGTAAGAACAGAATGGCGAACATCACAATAGAGAGTACTCTTAATAACACGAGAGACGAGAAATGGATGTCATATGCTACATCCGAGTGTATTTCGTGGGTTGTTGTGCTCATCGTTGAATGTCTGGCCATAGTCATCCTTAACGCTGTCAGTGTTGTTGTACTCGTGAAGATGAATCAGCTGGAGCGCAGTGGTACTTGCTTGATCATCCATCTGGCGATAGTTGATTTTCTGGTGGGAGCAGTGGCAGGTCCTGTGTTTATTCAAGTATTAGGGGCTTCTTGTAATTTGTGGGAGAACCAAATATGGTCTGAGAAGCATTCTTGGATGAATGGTTTAGCATTAACATTGAGGCAGTTGTTCCCTTACATGTGGCTTATAAATCTCACGGTTATTTCATTAGAGCGGGTATACGCAACCTTTTTTCCATTCAAAGTATCATGACGTTAAGAAGTGGGTCTACAAAGCTATAATTGCTGTAACCTGGGTAATCTCTTTGACTCTCGCGCTGGTGGGAGAAGATGTGAACACAAAAGGCAGCTCCGCTGAGTTTTGGTCGCATCGCCTTTTTTTTGTTCTTCTCCTTTTAGTTATTTCTGTTTCTTACATCTCAATTTTCGTCAAAGTCCGTTCCAGTCCACCGTAGGCCAAATCACAATGCAGCAGCTGTAAGGGAACAAAAATTAACGATTACATTATCTATGGCGACTTTTGCATCCATTCTTACATGGTTTCCATTGATAATTGAACGAAACATTAACGCTTTTTATCCCCAGTTAAGTAACACGATCTTTACCACTCACGTTTTTAGAACAATGTTGGTGATGTGCCTCGCCAACTCGCTGATAAATCCCATTATCTATGCCATGCGGTTGCCAGAATTAAGAGAAGGTATAACGAAAATCATATTTCGACGGGCTCCAAACAGTTCAAACCAGGGTGATTCTCCTCTCCGTAATCTTTGATTCATTTTTCAGACAATAAGAATTATTCAGCAGATAATTCTTTCGTCGCATTATCGATACATTATCCGACCAAGAGGTGCTGGTAATCCAAAAAAGTTTCTAGCAGAAGGGTGTCTTGATAAAACATCAAATCTTCAAGCGGTTCTCAAAGGAATTTTGTTATCTAAAGGGAGGATCGATGCAACAATAGGCATGGTTTGAAAGTAGCCTCGTCTGAGAGTCAAACTTAAGGGATGGGCATTTTTTGTACAACGAGTCGGTTGATGTGACACTTGGTGTCAGATATTAAACAAAGACTTGGTCTCTTGGGCCGCGTCGGAGTTAAGAATTAAAATAACGTGTTAAGGGAGGCGATAGGGTTCGGTTTGTGTTTGTTATGAATTTTAATATAATGTAAACTTGCAATAATAATGTGCGTGAATGTTGGGTTGATTCCATTGCAACATTTTGTAGCACCCTAATTCCAATGATTGCAAAGAGGGATATGTTTAGTGCGAGATACATACCCTGAGGCTGCGTTCTGATTGGTACAAGCATCATACCAATCGATACGATAACATAGTGTCATATATATATACATATACACAAAGAGAATCCCTTTTGCGAACTGTCCTATTTGTTTAACCCTTGATACCATAGAATCTCTGCCTATGTCACTTGATGTCCTCCGTGCATTCCATAAAACAATCAAGAGCTCTTTGAGTTGTAGATCATTTTCTTTATTCATCCGCCATTGATGTTTAATTTAGGGGAGAAATTAAATGCTAATAATCCTTAGATCTGATTATTTAAACAAAGTCTGGGCGTTGTTTAACAAAACCGCGTCCGGAACAATCCTCGATTTAGATAAACCTTTTATCTCAACATTTTTTTAAATTTATGAACAGCATCAAGAGGGCTGAAAGCTAACGGTGGAAGGATATTTATTTAATTACATCAAACCTCTTGTTCAGAAAGCCTAAGGCCCACTGATTGCGTAAAACCGTGCTTTGGGTTAGAGTTAGTGTAAAAACCATCCCTTACGGTTTAAGGGTTTAATCTTGGCAAAATCTCTGTAAACTTGTTCACTTGAGAGGTAATTTCCCTCTTAATGCTGTACCCCTTTTTTCAAAGGACTGAAATACCCTTATATTTAATCAAATATCGTACATTCCAAGGAAGTAGAGGTTGAAAATGGCTCTTAAGAGTCGAAATGGGAAAAAAGGAAGATTGAGCCATAAAGTCGAAGGTCTACATGTTGTAACAGACGAATGAAAGTCTGATTTCGAAAGTTCATAGTCAGAGATTCGGACGTAGGAGGCTTACAAGTCAAAAGTCGTAAATTAGTAGTCCGAAGCCGGAAATCAGAAAATAA